GGGCGGCTGGGTGCCTGGCGAGGGTTTGGCAGGAGCGTAGGGGCTGCGCTGCCAGGGATTTACAAAGGAGGGTCCTCGCAGCGTCTCCAGCCATCTGGACGTGTTGGGTTTTTTTTAAATGTGAATAATATTTTTATGTAAAGCTTGTTCTGTTAACCCTTAGGCTGCGGAGGCAGCCTCCCCAGCGATCCCTGGGGGATCTGTGGGGCGATGAGGGAGGAGGGATGCATTCCCTTTGCTCTGCCGCCCCTTCCAGCCCTGGGAGGGAGCAGCCACGTACTCCTCCTCAGCGTGGTGGGCTGGAGCAGGGAGTCTCGTGCCACCCTCAGAAATTCATCCACCTTTCCGAAGCGTAACAGCGGAGCCTGACCACGGGATCCCCGTGTCCTGCCCACTGGTGGTCCCACGCCCTCTGCAGACCCCGAGGGAGAGCCTTCAGACAGGGGGAAAGGGTGTTTTGGAGGAAAAGAGTGGTTTTCCCTAAGCAGGGGAGGGTGGCTCCTGGTCTGTGTGGGCTGGGGCCAGGCGGTGGCACTGCAGGCGGTGACACCCCAGAGTTGCCCTCGCAGCGGCACAGGTGTGATGGGCTTTGCCTACGTCACCCACCAGCTCCCAGGGAGAGGAGGAGAGGAAAACCCAGCACCTGCCACCGGTTTGTCTGGGCACCATTAAAGACTGAACACAGTGTGTGAAGATGGATTGTAGGGCTGAGGTTTGGCTCCCCTGAGCAGCCTGAAATCTGCTTTTCTCACCGCACCTTTGCCATTTCAGATGCACGAGCTGCCTCTCGGCCAGGTGGAAGTGTCACTGGTGCCCCTCCACCTACACCTGTGTCTCCAACCACTCGCAGTGTGACGACGCGCTGCAGATGAAGGTAAGGCCCGTCAAACTTTGCTGCTTCAGGAGACCCTCCCACCTCACTGTGCTGTTGCTGTTGTTTTCCTTCTCCCGGGGATGGAGGCAGATGGCCTGGGTTTGGCAGCTCCGAGAACGGCGCTGCTCGGCATCACTGATGTGCCGCCTGGCCTTGGGGACTCTCCGCTGTCGGAAATGCAGCGATACGCTTCTCGCAAAGGCTCAGCAGATGGAGGGCTGAAGGGCCACCCTGGAGTGTTGCTCTGTGTGCATTGTGTCTGCAGCGCTCCCTGGCAGCGTGGGTGGGTGTGGGGCTGAGCCGGGGCTTGGACTGTCTCGCCTCGAGGTCGCCAGGCTGAGCCTTGCTCTGTTTAGTGACCAAGCGCGGTCTCGGCCACTCCTCCCAGCAGGCTCTGAGTCTCCCCCATCAGCGACCGGCACTTGCTGGCCCCGGCTTGTCCTGGGCTTGAGCTGGGGCACCCGCCTCTGCTGGCGTCCAGGAGGGGGATGCATGTGGGGCAGGTCAGCTGCAGCCGTGCCGTGCCGTGCCCAGAGGCGTGTGTGTGTGTGAGGAGGCTGGCAGCCTGGCTGAAGCGTTCTGCTGTCCCGCTGCCCTCAGCAGGCTCCGTCCGTTTGGCTCTTCGTCACCTCTCACGTCTGCAGCAGTGCCGCTGCTCCGCATCCTGGGACGCCTGGCTTTGAGTAACCCAGCAAACGCAGCAATACTTTACCATTCACTTAGCTTTGACTAGGCTCTTGCAGTATGTTAATAACTTGCTGGAGCACCCCTGGTGGTGCCTGTCTAGAGAAGAAAATCGCCCCTTTCCAAATTATAGCGTTAATAACCCAGAGGCTCAGTGCGTTACTGCTTCTGAAATTTAAATTGAAACTAATTTAAATAAAATTGGCTTTTTAGCAATCAATCTGCCGCAGATCCAAGCCAAGCTTTTACACTGTAAATTGAATATCCCTTTAGCACCGGTGCTCTGCTCCCATCTCAGCTGTTCCAGAGTTCCCCATGCTCGGCACTGGCAAGAGTTTGGCCCCGTGTCAGACGTCCCACCCTCACCCCCCCAGCTGACCCTGGGGCCAGCCCTGGCATCTGCTCCCCTCCAGCGGGGAGGAGGTGGTGGCTGCAAGTGCAGGGGACGGGGATGGAGATGGGGCCACCGTGTTGCAGCTCCATGTGATCGCCTCTAGTGTAAAACCCTGGGAAAGGTTTCCCGTCCCTGCTGAGTGGCAGCGCAGGGCAGTGCGGGTCTGCCCTGTGGCTTGTGAAGCGTGTCTGGATGGGTCGTGCATCCCTGTGCATCCCGGGATGCTGATACCGGGTAGTTTGAGGAAGCACCCTCTGCTTTGACAACTTCCCAGGTTTCAGAACGTATCTGCTGTTTCTTCTTGCGGTCTGGATGGGTGCTGGGCACTTGAAAACCATCGTGAGTGGCTGCTCCAGGTGTGGGACCCACACACTGAGGTGGGGCGATGGGGTGCCTGCCCTGTGCTGGGGCGCGGGGGGCTGTGCTGGGTGTTTGGTGAGTGCTGGGCTGCCGGGGCACGAGGCCTCGCAGCACGGAGGGCCACGAGCTGCAGGTGCCTGTGCTGCACGTGCTCCTGGGCACGGGGGCTGCTGCCCGGGGCAGGGGCTCTGGGGCCTGTCAGCCCCACTGGTGGCACTGGGTGACATCAGGGCTGTGGGGGTGGCTGGGGACCGCCACAGATTAGTCCTCGAGCTTTGGTCACGGCTGGTACGCATTGGGTTTCTCATTAAACCTAGAGGAAGAGCTTGGGCTGCGAGAGGACTTCTGAAGAAGGTCCCGTGTTATTGGATTGACTTTTTCCTTGATGAAGTGCCGCCTAGCCTGCAACTCGGCTGGCACACGCAAAAATTGCCTGAGATGATTTGTGTCGTTTGGCTTAAGTGCAGCTGCTTCCTGGAAGGCAGAGGAAGAGCAGTTATTCAGTGGAGCGGGAGCAGTGTGTTTTCCTGGTGTCCCTCCCAGACTGTGCCCAGGGAGATGCCGGGGAGGATTTGAGAACTGGATCTTGCTGAGTCTGGCTGCCCCTTCGTTCCCTGCCCCCCAAGGCAGAGCCTGGCCTTGTCCCCTACCCTGCACGGGGCTCCTGGAGAGGGGACAGAGGGGACACGCCATAGAACTGACGCTGCGGGGGTAAAACTTTGCTGCAGTGCCCATGCTGCTGGTGGGAGGGCGTGGGGCTTCTCGCGCGGAGCCTCCGGGGGCCAGACCCGAGCCATCCCTTGTAAAGCCAAACCCGAGGCTGTGGCTGTCAGTCGGTGATGCCTCCCATGGTGCTGGAGTTGCTGCAGGACCCGGTATGT